ATCGTTCGCGTCGATCACCGATGACAGTCGATTCGATAAGTCCAATCTTCGGCATTTTTCCGTTTATCTGTTTCTGTTGTACATTGTTTCTTATGTATTTTACAGTTTTGTCTTTTTCAAGATTTCTGAACCGTGTTTTGCGTGTACCCCTGTACATGTGTTTCTAATGTTTTCTTTCATGACTGTTTTTCTATCGTTCGTTATCCTTAGTTTTTGCCAACCTGGTTACAGCATCAACACCCTCTTATACATTATCTCCCACACCCAATAGACTGTGTGCATCTTCCATTCATCGTCTAATGCTCACTACTTACTTGAACGTCTGCAGGCGAATGCCTGTGTAATGGATACGAATACCTGGGTACGAATACCCAGGAATCGGAGTCTCTGACCAAGAAACGGAAGTTATACTCAAACCCAATCGATCCCCAGTCTGTTCCCTCACCGAGTTCACAGGACGTTTATAAGAGGAAGCAGATTTCAGGAAAACATGGAAAGGGTAGATGTTTGTCAGTTGGGATAGTTGACTTGAAGGATATGCAGAAGCTGGATGGGAATAAGCAAAAACAATGTAACCGGGTCCCATTCGTCGCTGTTATCCACTTAAGATGCTATAAAAGGCTACTCGTTCTTGACAAGTAGCTAAGAAATAAAATTTTTATCAGAGGGTATTCCGAGTGGTCGGCTCACAGCGGCAGCTCAGTACATTTTCCTGTCAAAATAATGACGTCAGTACACTGACTTACCGGGCAAGGACGAACCATGGATACGAAATTGCTTCTCCGACTGAAAAAAGGCCCTATATGTATTTTCGTCTCGTCAACATGCGATCGAAATCAAAAACCTTTTCGGAGTATGTATGGATAATTGTTGCGTGGAAATCGCTTGAAGTGAAGGAAAAGCCAAATGCTCCGGCCGGTTTGTACTTTTGTATTATTTGGCGAGATGGAGCCTAACAGTGCCAAGTAATCTCAATCTTAATCGCCTCAATTCCTTGTTTCCCACCGCTTTTGCCTATTAACCCTGCTATCCACACCATATTCCCTGTCAATTCCCTTCTGGGACCGCACGTGGCTTGTCACTAGCCTCTCGGCAACCCGCAGACAGTAAACGTCCCCCCTTCTCCGATTAAACGGAGGGCGCTAACTGGGACAGAGCGAAAGGTGCACTTACCCGTCGCGGACTAATAACCTCAACGGCGGACACGGAACAGAGAACTAATCCGGAGAGATAGCTTGTGGCAACGGCCACTCGGCCACTTGTACGCACTTACGCATCTGTATAGTCGTCCAGCGTGATCCGTCTTCCCTGACTCCTGGCTTGGGGATTCTGGCTTTGTCGGCCATACCAACTTCGACAGGTTCAGTTGCAAACTCTGGCCAAATGTTCTAAATTAAACTTTTCGCAGTTGTTCTCCTAGAGAGGAAGAGAGAGAGCCGCAAACGCTAAAAACGATTGCTGTGTCCGGACAGCATACTGGTGAACTTCTTAAATCAGTCCGGATGCAATCTCACCAAATTGTTAGAGCTTATATTTCATTCATTATTTCAAGTAAAGAGACTGTCAGAATGACAGCTGGACAATTATTTAGCCGGTATCTCCTTAGACCGACTGGATTTGCCCAGTACACGATTGGCTGAAGTTGCAATCGGACTTGTATTTGAGTTAGGTACTCGCTTTGGTTTACTAGAGGCTGCCGGTGTGTTCGGTCGGAGTGTTTGTATGCATGACATGTTGTTGCGTTTAGAAATATTGAATACTCTATAGAATTAACTATGTCATGACGTGGTGAGGCCGCAAATTATATCGGATGATACTTATTCGATATGACAACAGGGACCGTTAAATTGGCATTGGTTTTCGAAATTTTCAAGTTGTTTAGTCTTCTGCGTATACATGTGAGATCCGGGCAAACAGAGAAACGTCACTTTTGACAAAATTTTCTAACCATGTCTTTCCTCGACAAGCTGAATTTAACTTCTGTCAATGGGAAGGGATCAAGTAGTTTCAGCGCATTACGGCTGATCCAGCACAATTGGTTAGTTTGGCAAATGGTAGCCCAAGCCAAAACGTTGCAGAAACAAACGCACACCCTCAATAGCAGATTTGCATTCGGAATTTTATGCTACATAAAATTATACTTACGTTCTATCCTTTCATCAGCATCGGAGCTTTTTACCCCAATAACTTTAAACGGTTGTTCAATTACTTAACAAGTAACCTTCGTTTTGCATTCTTTCAAGTTTTTGACAGTCACTGGTGTGGCATAGAACTAAAAGCAATCTCACAGTCAATGAAAGCGATGTGTACGGCGTGTCTATCCTCGAACGTTTGGATCCGTCTCCGGTTAGGTTCTGGAAACCCTTGCAGAATTGCGATAACAAACTGTTGATATCTACGCTGTACAAAAATCCATCTTTTATAATTCTACTCATGACTTTGTCCGCTAAGTATGAGGGTCTTTAATTTTTTGCCAATGACGTTTACGGTTTTCTGGAGGGAAGTAATTTGCATCAGATTACAATCAGCGATAAGTGTTCCAGCATCGATGGACTTCGAAAAAAACGTTAACAGGGATAAAGGAAAATAGCTGACAAGTTCGTTGAGGAGTTTCAAAATACAAATCTTAAATATATGACAAACTACCAGATTTCCACGGCCTTTCATTACTTAATGCGGGCCAACACCCAACACCTAAGAGGTAAATTTATGAGCGAAAATTCGATGAAGTTATTGACAATAATATTCAGATTTTAAAGAGTTCGGGATGCGGATTATGTTACCCAGATATCACGCTGTTAATAGTGGTATCATGTCCTGCGTACACGGGATGGAACAGAATGGGGGTGACTTGAGTCTGAGTACAACTTCCGTTTCTTGGTCAGAGACTCCGGCTATTGAGTGTTCGTACCTAAAGTATCCATTATACAGACATTCGCTTGCAGGCGCACAAGAAATCAGTGAGTATAAGACGATGGCTGGAAGATGCAAACAGTTTATTGCGTGTGAAAGATAATGTATAACAGGGTATTGATGCTGTAACCAGGTTGGCAAAAACTAAGGATAACGAACGATAGAAAAATAGTACTGAGCAAAAATGTTATAAAGTCTGTGGGTACAAGAATATACGCAAAACATGGGTGTGGAAAACTGGGAGAAGAAAAGAAACTGCAAAACTGCCTACGCATTAATATACAACGAAACAGATAGGTGGAGAAATGTAGGTTGGACTTATCAGATTGACGGCAGTCGATGATGGTCGCGCGTGATCAGGCCTCACGATCACTCTACAAAAGAATGATCACGATTGAAACATAGGGGTTTCTGTACGTCAGTTCTGCTGTGGTGACGGTAGAAAAATGACGAAGTATGTGCGCGGGTAGCATTATGAAGGAGGAAAGGTTGCGGGGACACACGTTCCTGAGATCCGTGAAGGAGAGATGATAACGCATAGGAGCATTCAATCTCAGAACAGGCCTTTTCAAGATATGACTTTAGCAATTCATGTACATATACAACGGAAATAAATCATGCAACGACAGAAAAGTTACCGGTTCTGCAAAAGTCCAGGTAAGCAGCAATTTGCAGCTGGAGAAGTCGACAAAGGTAGAAAATGATTAAGGGGAAAGGGGACTCTACGACATTCTGTCATGTTTGCTTTGCCTACTTAATCTCTTCGCAGCTTCTCCCCCTTGTTAACCTGATTCTAATGAAGGTGCGTCTCCGTCTGCTGTCCCGACAGTAACCCTCCCCCAATTCTCTATTTTCATTAAGTGTTTCAGCTAATGCTTCGCTGGTGTGTAGTTTTTAAGTTTGATAGTGTGATCACAAGGCCATAGCTTTCAAATTTAAGTCGTATATCGTCCGCAATCAATTGACAGAGATTGTTTGAATCTATGACTTATAAACCGCGTTTTCGGGAGTAGTTTGCGATGTCTGTCTTCCGTTCTTCGGTTTCGCTCGTTCAGCAAACGACCCGTAAGTTCTCGCCTGATTTCTATTATAACATAATCTAACGCTAAAGGTGCAGTCATTTTAATGCGTTGTCACTTTTTTTAACTTGTCGGGTTGAGAACTTATGCTGTCTGAAGCAATTGCATGCGCTTGTCATTGCACACAGGAGCGAAATACTTCAACTTACATCTTGCGCTTACATTTTCACTTAGTCCGTTCGCGCTTGTTTTTGTGCCTTTATCATTTTATTGGCTGTACACTGAAAGTCCTATACATGCTACTGCCGACCCAAGGATCCATCCGGATGCATAAATAAAGTCTGATCGTGTTTAATTTCAGGCATATTGTCCCGTCAAAACTTAAAAACGTGATTGCTTCAATAATGTTACCGTATGGCGGTAGCTCAATGCCATAGTGAGTTTGAGTAACGTCATTGCAAACTGTCACAAATCACTTACTTACACTCTTGCTGAATTTCCTAGTATAAATGTAGTAAATAACTGCAGTTAAAACATCCTTAAGTTGTTGCGAATAAGGCCGTACTTTTTTGTGGCCGTCTGCCATCTAGCACACGAATATGCGTAGTCGAATACGACTACTGCTGACTTGAGTTCTACAGCACTTTTCTTTGTCTCCCTTCCGTCTAAATCAGGTCTCCTATACACCAATAACGTGTACTAGGAGCTCCGATCTTTACTGTGAGTCAATTTTTAGTCGTGATATCAGACTTTTGGACGTCTGCGCAACTTTCCAACATTTGGCCACGCTTGGCCTTCAGAGCAAGATGGATGCAGTGCGTGTGTGCGCGCAGTCTTTGATAGACTACCGAAAGGCTCTAGCCCTATGAGGGCGGCTGGAAACGACGCTTAACCGACGTGTACGCACGTATATACACCCAGCCTTTGTCAAGCTGTCGACCGCTGGACGCAATGAGCGACACATGTGAGAGGATGTCGTCCAAATGGGCCAAACTCCAGACGACGCGTGCAGTCGGTGTATGTGAGTGCCTTAATGAGGCCTTTGACCCCGCCCATGAGAACGAACTAATAGGTAGGAACGAGCAGTATTCAAGTGCAGTTTCATCAGGATAGGCCTTGGCGGGATCACACTAGTATATTCACCCACACTTGCTCCCCGGTTTCAGTTTTCATTGTGCTACAAAAACACAGTTTGGAGCGGCACTTATCATCTTTTCTTCATTTACCCATTTCAAATAACGATCCTGCATTATAAGCCGCTCAATACTTAAACGTTCCTCACTCTCGACTACTGGATTAGTATTACTCGACAGTCGAACCCTTAGGATCCTACTTTGTGTCACCTTGAATAGTCCCAATCGGAATTAGTCTTGCAACCGTGTCATCAACTTATATTCAGGGTCTTCTGAGTTAAATGCGTGTAGGCCGAATAGGTGACTCAGGCTGGATCACGTGCTGTGTACATAAAGTCCCAGGGCCTTTTATTGGATTTTGCGTTTACGTATTTCTGACAGCATTCACCATTTCTCGTTCAGACGGCTTCGAGTTACGAGTGCACCTTGTCCGGATGATTGCCTTTCATTGCAGTTTGCCAGTGCCAGCCTTCAAAGCGTCGCGGTGCAGCTCACAAGGGAGGACTGTTGCGAGTTTTTTCGCCTACACTAATACAGCAAAACGGTTGAAGACAAATAAAAGATAATCTATGGAGGTAGCAGAATCTTTGACCGGTCAAAATTGAATCTCCTCGCAACTAGAATTTTTTAAACACAATTTCCTAGCATAGGTTGCACATTGACACGGCCATCATAATGCTTAGTGTCAGTGTCTATCTCACGCATACTACTGGGGTCTGACAAGGGAGTCTGAAAATGAGCATGAACCCCTTAGCCTTCGCCTGCAACAACTTCGGCCTGACAGTCAACACGAACAAAACGATGGTCACGCACCAACCGTCACTAAACGCTGGGTACAACTCTCTTCGGATCGCTGTCAACGCCAACCAACTTGAAACCGAGGACGACTCGCCCTATCTAGGAAGCACACTCGCGCAGCACAAAGATCGACGATGAGGTGTCCCGCCGGCTCTCTAAAGTCAACCAGGTCTTTGGCGGGCGGTAACCCTCCGTCTGGAATCGCCAGACGACGTTCGCCTACCAAAAACAAATATTTTAAGGGTATGTCGCCACGGGTTCTCGCCGACTGGAAGAACCAAAACGACATTGCAAGGTCACTCTGAAGACTTCCCTGGAACGCCTGCAGGTCAGTCGGGCAAACTGGGGAGACCTCGCCCGGAACCGACCGGCTTGGAGGAGGACAGTGAAGACAGGAACAGCGATTTACGAGGCCAACCGCATAACCGCCTCCAAAGCCAAACGCGAAGCTCGAAAATCCCAACTGTCCCCGCCTCAACGCCAACAGTCAACCGCCCCCAACATGCTCTCGGCGTAAGCGAACGTTCCAAATACAAATCGATCTTATTGGACGTCTTCGAACCAGCTGCAGCACCCGGACGCCACCACCTGGTCCACCCCCCCTCCCACGTCACTAATCAACCACAACCGTGCTCCTAATCCCTCGTCACCATCATCCTCATCTTACCCTCGGCTGCGGCGTCCCCTGCCCCCACCACCATTGCACACAATCCTGACGCACTGTCAAACATCAACCTCGCCACCGTCAACACCAGTGATGCGGATTCGGTCCAAACCTGTCCCTGTTGCGATCGCACATTCACCTCACATATTGGCTTGGTCGGTCGCATGCGAATCCATCGCACAGAGACTGGAAAACCAGTGCCTGGAGCACACACAGACACTCCGCATCCGCCTAAATTGTACACACTGCCCCCGCACATTTGCTCACCGCGTGGGCCCACTCGGTCACATGCGTATCCACGACAGCGTACTTCACCACAGTCGTCACATCTCGCACACCCACCGTGACTAGCCCAATCTCGGATTCTGTGGTCCTTTACAGGGTAGTCGTCTGGTCAGTCCGCAACCCTCCGCCTCCCACTAATATTGTCGCTTTTGCTCAGTGACCTCTTTTTCCTCAGATGTAGCTACCTTTAATCGAAGGTATTTCCACTATTTGACAACCGTGGATACTCCAGAGGTTTGTTAACAAAGAGGCTTTCAAAGCCACCCTCAGTGCGGCTTCTTATAGAAGTCCCCATTTTCTGCATTTCTGACTGTCTTTTGAATGAGTGTGTTTTATCAATAAGTACTTTCCGAATCCACATTTACTTTTATTATGTCTGCTCCATGCCGCCGAAGTTTTCCGTCTTCTTATTACTGCCTTTAGGTCTCGGCATCTTACGGCTCGCCCCTTCGGCGTTTCTACCGTCTCGCTTGGCGTCGTCAAACCCAAAGTATGCGAATAGCGAGGAGCCGTATGCAGAGTTCAAGCAACGCTTCATGACTGCTTTTAACAAGCCCGACCTGGATGGATGGTGGCTGCGAAAGTATCTTCAAGACTTACACGTGGAAGACATCATACCTGAGCCAGACATCGTGGTTTCAATACTGAAAGCCTGCCGTCGGCTGAATGACCTCGCTCTGGCTATTCGATATATTGAGAGCTTGAAGGTATGCCGTCACGGGCTTAGATTACACCTTTTCTCCCCTTTAGCACAAATGTGGTATTAAGCCTGAACTTTTCCCCTGGCTCATGAATGAGGTTGCGCCAACCATGAAGGAATTGGGCATCCCGACGCTTGAGGAACTAGGGTACGACAAGCCGGAGCTCTACACCCTAGACTACGATGATTGATTATGTTACAGCCCCTAACAGACTGTAGTTTTGTACTCAGGACTTCCTCATGGTCGCACTTCTTCATTCAGGAATTGCCTTAAAGTTTGACATAGAAGAATAATTTTGCGCATAACCTGCCTCCTTTTTACAATTTTGATGTCTTGCTGTAAGTACCAGGTTAGCAAACCTTCAATTACAAAAAGGACAGAATTTATAGTTTTAGCCACCTGCACAGTATGGTGCTAGCGTCTCCTAAAGAAACGTAAAACATGCTTTCTCCGATCAACTTTTTGTCTGGTCGTTTAGAGGGCTGGTGAAAGGCCCACAGATATGCAATCCATTTTTCCCATTTTTGGTTGATTTCAAACGAACAAACCAACCATTTAGATCGTCGTTGGAAACTCCACAGGATGCACAAAGGAAACTTTTCGAAGTTTATTGTTTCTTGAAAGGGGCCACATTAATACTGTGACACTGCATGCCACCAGTTGTTCGACAGGTTTTTGGTCATGGAGATTAGATTGCTCCGTTAGACGAGGTCTATGGCAATTTCCCATCTGCTGCTCTTGACGTTTGTCCATTATCCACTGCAGAGCAGCTACGTATGTTGTATTGAAAGCTCTTTGCCCATCTAGAACTGGATCTCTGGAAGTAACTGGCTTCCGAAGTTCTCCGCCGGAGGGCTAACGGACTGAACGCCAGCTCTATCTGTTACTAAAAATCGGAGTCCTAGGTAACGTGGGTAAAGAAATCAGAACACATTGTACCTCGTGCAGGCAACATTGTGGAACTCTAACTAGTACCGCAGTGTCTGTACAAAGATCGAAATATAAGTTAATCCATAGTTGTCAGACATTCATGCAAACGCACACAAAGCGGCCGAATTGCTATGCCTTCAATGGATGCTCAGAGCGAGTGGCAGCCCATGCAATTGTCGGCCGATGCATGGGCGAACGAGATGAGGGACCGAACCGCATCGGCCGCAAGCTTTGACGAACGTTCCTATATGTCAAGGATGTCTCTAAAGCCGTTGGCCACCTCACACCACTTGGAGTTGGGTTTCATACAGACCACAAGCACTTATTGGGCGTCAGGTAATGGAACCGAAAGGCTCGCCGTCACAGCGAGGAACGCCTGCAGTCGTTTACTGATTTTGGTACAGTTACGGACAGGGCATCTACGTCAGAGAAACTAGGAAATGACTAGGGACGCGGATGGTCGAACCTGCGGCAGCGGTTAGGGGCAATAGCGCCAACCCCCAGGTCGCGTTTCATTCTACGGGATCTTGCCATACCTTCAGGCTGCACGAGGCCGGAGTTCTTGCGAGAGTTGGGCCAAGACTTGCTTAAGTCATGGTTCTCCGGCCCGCAGTCTATTAGTAGGTGCAATAAACCCCACTGCTTGGGCAGTTACTGACCACGCGGGGAGGACGCTGGCGAACATGACTTCCAATGACAGTATTTGCGAGTAAGTGTCGCGCCCATAATCAAATAGAATTTGGTGCTGAATGCGGGAGCTGCTAATTATTCTAGTCATGCGGTTGCAACAATGCGGTTGTAACAATGTGTTATAAGTACTGCACTCGGTGTGCGTCCGCCACCGTCCGTAGCGGTCGAGTGATAATTCACAATGTTTCTTCCGGTCACCGCACCTCAGTTTCCCAGTCCTCCACTTCCGTGGGGCTAAATTATAATTTCCTCTGGACTCCCAGTCAAGTATCACTACGTTTGGATTGCGTGAGTAAAAAGGGCCGTTTCAACACGTGGTCTCAGTGGGTCCTTTCCCTCCAGTTACTCTGGGAACAAGCATAAAAATTAAGGGAATTTCTCCTAAATTTTAAAGGGCTGTAACCATCGTCTTGCGGTGTACGCCTACTTGTTTACGATGTTTGGAGAGTAGACTGGAAGAGCACTGCGCAATGTCCGCGACTTCGTTTTTATTTGTTAACCCGTCAGAGGGTATTTTCTTGTCCGGCATCCGACTTGTGACGTTGACGAAACTAAACGATACAGCTCGCGCCTTAATCCTGTGCCGTGTCCACGCGCCATGCCATATCTGGTGTGGTGTGGTCTGGGAAATTAAGCTCCTAAGGAATTTATTAAGCGATATCTTATGACTGGCTGAAGTGTAGCGTCGTCTCCTTGAGAGGACCACGAACAATGTTTATGGTGGACGCGAAGTTTACTCCTTTGCAAATGTCGCATCAATCACACATGAGGATGTGGAGGGCGCTTAAATGCAGCATAGAGTCTAGCCATCAATGTAAGTTACAGGATTTGTGTCGCAGACTTCTTAGCGTATTTTTTCCTATCCTCGCACCAATTTCAGGCAAGACGCGGGAATAGGATTCGGAGTCTTTGCGCTACTTTCCAGGGAGGTTAGGGTTACAGGTGGGATGAGGTACGGCCACAGGAGGTAGATGATGTGCACTCACCTGAGCTGTTAGTCTGTTCCATCATGTTTTTCTCCCCAGGGGAGGCCGTCAGTAGTACCGTCATCATTTTCTCTGCGTCTGACGACGACATGGAAGCCTGCACCACAAGTTTAGGGAGGTAAGTTTACCATTCCACAGGTATCGTGATAGCCAAGGTCCTAAAGCTCTTTAATTGGTTTGGCCTTTTTAAAAGGATGCGGAGTATTTCCCCATAGAGTAACGGTGAATGTGTTGCTTTGCGCTCCAAAATCGCAATCACACCAGATTTTACCGACGCATTGAAATCCAACCTCGAACCAGTGTTCAGTGTTGACAGAAGCAAAGATCAGGCTTCTATATTCAGCAATGGAACTGCTCTTCGCGGACGACGCTTCCAGTGACGGTATTAGCAAGCCAAAATGCCGAAAATTTTTTATATCAGTGGGGGGGGGGGAGCTCACCGATCGCGTTACGGGACTGACTCGTCCCGTTGTGCCTTGGGGCTCTTTCTGGAGCCCCGCCAGCAGCGCGTAATACAGGCAGAACAACGTTGCCAACAAAGACAAGGGAGGCTGAAATGGTCATTTCGGGCTTTTTAGCCGTCATCAGCCGGCCACACCCAACTCCGCGGTATGCAATTCCCCGAGGCTCGAACTCGCGTCCGGTTGGTTAGAAGTCAAACGCCCTAACTACTGAGCCACCGTTCCTCTGTCTTTGTTGGTAATGTTATTCTGCCTATGTTACGCGCCGCTGTGGGGCTGCTGGCGGGGCTCGAGAAAGGGCCCCAAGGCACAACGGGACGAGTCAGTCCCATAACGCCATCAGTGCGTGCCTCTCTGTCATTGTTAACAGACCCGATGGCAGCGGACAAGACAACGAGCCGTGGTCAGTGCGTTTGACTTCCAACCAACAGGTCGGAGTTTGGGCCTCGGGGGTTGCATACTGTGGGGTTGGGTATAGCTGGCTGATAACGGCTAACAAACCCAAAGTGGTCATTCCAGTCTCCCCTGTCTTTGTTGGCAGTGTTCTTCTACCTAAGTTATTATACCAATAATCGATATTAGTGACGAGGTTGCGGCAGTTAACGAGTCGGCTGAGGAGGAGCAAGTAATCATCCCACCTATTACGGTCACTGGAGTGAGTGCAGGAGCTGATTTCTATAACAGGGATGAGATGGCATGACAACTTCACACCCCTTGCGCGCTCACCATATCTGTAGCGGTCTCTGATGGCGGATTCGAGTTAGAATCTAACATTTTCGTCTATTAAAATGCTTGTTTCAACGGCCGCACCGCATAGCAGTTAGTCTTATGAGAAGACAAGAACCTCTAATCCAAGACGGCAGTGGCACATTCGGATCCTGCTATTGTTTTTTAAGGTATGACCTCAGGATCCGTTTTCTTCTTGAAGTAAATTAAGAACATGTACCCACAACTGCGGTAATCTTTCCATATTCAGATACACACAAAAGGTAAACTTAAACGGCTGCTTGCACAAAAGAGAGTGTTTGCCTTGAGAAGCCCAACTAATGGAGTACTGCGACAAATGCTGTTTGCAGATACGTTGATCCCTCCGAACTTAAAAAAATCATCGGTGAGACTTGGGAGCAAATTGCACAAATACGCCTGACCTACTCCCTCACGCATAGTAGGCTTCAACTAGGGGAGCGTATCTGCGGCTTTACGCCCAAGAAGTCTACTCTAAGAACTAAAAATTCAACTAAAAATATACTAGTCGCCTCTTGTTCCGTCTTCGGCCCCGCACCACCACCAAGCAGAGTAAATATGAAGCCTCAAGGAGTTCTCTGCGTAGTGAATTTCTAAGCTCAAGGACGTCAGCGCCACACATGACAGTTCTGCCATCGTGACTGACGATGTCCATCGTTTGCTCCACAGCAGGGTGAGAGCAGGCACGGCGAATTGCGCGGGATTTCTTATATAGTAGTGATAGGGCTTGCGTCGCATACGCCGCACTCTCCCCTCCTCCCTCACCCGTACCGAGCGCCGTGGATGAGGGACGAGAGAGTGCGGCAGATACTGCTCAAGTCCGCTATCACTATGAGGACGAGGCCCAACCAAGCGGGGTTTCGTGCGGGACGTGGATGAGCGGACCAAGTATTCACACTGAGGCACATTTTCGAATTCCGCCATAGCTACCAGCAACCGACAGCCGTCTGCTTTGTCGACTTTGACGCCGCGTTCGATTCAGTCCATTGTGAATCCTTTTGGAGGATAATGGCGCTAGATGGCCTACTGCCAAAAATCATCGCCATGATCAAGATCTATTATCGCTCCACCATTGCGCGAGTTTTGGTCCGCAACAACCTTCCCCAACCGTTTGCTATTCGGTCTGACGTTCGACAGGGTTGTATCCTGTTGTCCATTTTGTTCAACTACGCTATTGACTGGATTCTAGGGAGCGCCCTACACGAAGGTGACGGTTTGAGTTTGCACCCAGACGCCGAATGGTTGATCCCGACTATGGCGATGATATTGCCTTACCTGCTTCAAGTTTTGGTGATTTGCAGTCTGTGTCACGGGTGAACGAGGTCGCTCAATCGATCGGTTTGTCCACAAACGCTGGGAAGACTTAAGTGTTTTCAAGC